CCTCTGTTGTAGCCTCCGATAAAATGATTTTTTTAATGATTTGAAAAACAAACAAACAAAAAAGAACCTCTGTTGACTAGGTGCCCAGGACAGTCATTCAAACTTCTAAGACAGGTGATGTAGGTTGTGGGAATTGACACAGGGGACCTGATGGCTCTGTCGGGTGAGCGTTGGACTGTTAAGGCCAAGGTTGGTGAGTGCAACGCAGTAGTGCTCCACAGGAGACAGATGCAGCTGTCTGCTCCCTTAGAGATGTACAGCCTTGGAGCCCCAGTAAAGGGTCACCGCGGCCAGAATAAATTCAATGGCAGTGGGTTTGAAGTTGACAAACAAAAGGATTCAAAGCCAAGAGAATTCAAATCTTTGTATGCCAGTTGTATTCCAGGGACTCGTGGAGACATCTCAGTTCATCCTTGAACAACACTTTATACTGGCTGTCCCCTGGTCTCCCAGAGACTTCCATCTGCAGCACCGCTGAGTGGACTCAACCCTCCCACCTTCAGTTAGCAGCACAGTGCATTAACCGTTTACACCACCCAGGGACAACCTTGTCAGTTAGGTATTATTAGCATATGCATAAGAAATGAAAGCTCAGAGACATAGGACACAAGACTAGCCCAGACCACATGGCGAGGAAGTGGCAGAGATGGGATTCAAACCCAGTGCTGCGTAGCCCCCAAACCACCTATTCTGGACAATACCACCCTGCTTATCTATAGAATAAAATAACTGACTGTTACAAATCAATCTAAAACTCCCTACTCTAAAACAGCAGGAATTCTGGTATTTAAAAACATGACTTAAATTAAAAGCGTGTGCGTGTGCGACTGTTGTCTCAAGTCAGGAGATTAGACCAGACTGGGTTCTACAGCATATGCGATCCCTAGGGTGCAGGTTCAAGAAAGGGTGTTCCTCTTGAGTAAGAACTTTTCAAGGAACTGCAGAAGTTGTGTATGATGTTCCCATGCCACTGTTCTATCCCCCATCCGATGGGCTCATGTGTTTATACACCAATAGGTACGCTTGATAAGATTTAACTTCTCTCTCTTATCTCTGTACTAAATAATCATAGTCATTTAACTTGACATATTCTATTAGGTAAATTTCCTATATGAATATTACATATAATCTCTGTGCTTAAGTGTTACATTTTTTTCCTTAAAAGCCTTCTTGACAGAATAGAGTATCCATACCCATGTAACTGGATGCTTCCCTATGGCCTCAATGCTGCCTTTGTAAGCACTGTAAATCCTGCAAGACATGTCAGTCATGCTTTTATGGAAAGTACTCTTTGACAATATTCAATGAACATTTAACAGGAAGAAATATCCATTTCTAGAGTGTCCTGTATTCCATCTTTCGCCAGTCTCTCTCACCTACAGCAGTATGATCGTGTGTGGGGAGTCCTCTGCCTGGGGCGGCAGGGTGGGATTAATTTCTGGCTCGGTGGCATTGCAGGGTAAACAGCTTTCTGCCTGTCTTTTGTCATTAATGATCATGCTGTAGCTATAGCCAGTGCATTGTAAGCCAATCTGTCAAGGCAAATAAACAATTCACCTTGTTAAAATTCCCTAAATCATGCATTAATAAAACCAAAGAAACCCCCAGAACACTCGAGAGATGTCTTCCTCCATCCTGCCGTGATGGATGACATGTCGCAAGATCCTGGAAATTAAGTAGTTCAGGTCATTAAAAGTGTCCCACACTTGTTATTGATTTAATTTATTTTAAAAGGTGGGGGTGGAGATAAGAATGTAACCCCTCCCCATTTTCTTTCTGGCTTTTTTGTAATCTGAAAGCTACTTACCGCTTGTGTGCAGAATTAAAACTGTTGTCCAGCGAGACAGCTGTGTGCTTACAGCCACAGTGAGCTGTCGTCTTCATGCGGTAGTACGTCACCCACGTCTGTCACGTCAAAACGTCCTTGGAGTGTCGTAGCCATGATGAGTGCTAGAACCTTTGCATTATGGGCACGGTGGCATCGTGGTTCAGTGCTTGACTGCTAACGGAAAGGTCAGCAGTTTGAACCCACCAACCGCTCTGTGGAATAGACATGTGTTGTTCGCGTTGTTACAGATTTACAGGCTCGGGAAGCCTGTGAGGCAGTTCTCTGCCCTCTCGGGTCACTGTCAGTTGGAATTGACTCAAGGGCAATGAGACTGGACCACCCGCAAATCTCCTCAGGTAGGTAATCATCGAGGAAGGTTAAATGGTTTGAAGGAAATGCATAGACATGGTAATGAACGTGCGCTTCTGTTGTTGGGCAGAGGAGTGTGGTGTGTAGGGAGGCAGGAGAGTTCTCTCTTCATTCTCTGCAATGTCCCCTCCTCCCCACTGCTTTGTTACCTGGAGAAAAGGTAAACATTGTGGGTATGAGTCTGTGTGTGTGTGCTTACACACACACACACACACACACACAAATATGGAGAGATGGATGGGTAGATGAACAAAGAATTAAAGGTAGAGAAATTATGTAGAAAGTGATGTTTAGAATCATTTAATTCTATGTCCCTGTATTTTATGGCAAATTTACATGATTTTATGTGTGTGTGTGTGTGTGTGGAGGGGGGGTGTTCAAAAAGTTCACGGGAAAAAAACAATTATCTTTTAATTCCAGGTTTTCACGAATGTTCTGAAGACCCTTGTATTTACCTCCATATGCCCGTCCCTGGCTTAATCATCACCCAGAGGAGATTGAATGAATGCAGTGTCATCCCAGTTTTCTTCTCCTTCATTCCGTAACTCTCCGTGGCTGCAGTTGGCTGCATAGGAAAAGCAGCAGCGCCAGGCCAGTTGGCCCTCCCGTGAGCCTCTGCGTGGGCTGAGCAGGAGGCTGCACTGGCAAAGGGCTGCATGAAAGGGAATGGTCTGAAACTGTGGTGGTAGCAGTTGTACAGCAATGCTTGATGTGACTGAACTGTGGAGTGTCATGCGATCCCTGGGAGCGCTAACAAAATCATTTCACAGAAAGAAAGAGAGAAGAGGGAGGGAGAGAGAAAGCAAGATATGACAAAATAATAGTTTATGAATTATCCAAGGTTCATGAGGGAGGGGGGAGCTGGGAGGGAGGGGGAAAATTAGGAGCTGATGCCAGGGGCTTAAGTGGAGAGCAAATGTTTTGAGAATGAGGATGGCAACCAATGTACAAAGGTGCTTTACACAATTGATATATGGATTGTAATAAGAGTTGTATGAGCCCCTAATAAAATCATTAAAAATACAATTAAAAATACTGGTAATTGATGGAAAAGAAAGTAAAACTTAAGTAAAATTAAAGTAAAACTTAAACTTTCTCCACGTGTGATTCCCTTTCACCTGAGAAATTTGCAACACAGGCAAGGGCTGCCAGGAGGAACACCTCGGATTCATTCACGTTTGATTGTGATTCAATTTTAGTTGTTGAATATTCAGAAACCTTTTACTGTTTCCAGATTTTCCCCAACCCCCACATTCAGTTACGCGACCCCCATTTTAAGAAGCTTGGTACTAGAGGGGTACGGAGGTCAGCCTGGTGGAATGGGCAAACTGGATAGCCCTCACTGTTACTCCAGAATAGGTAGCTGTGTCCCAAAATCCTTGGAGACATGAGACAATCCAGTATGCTAATTATGGCTAAAAAATGAGGCATTATATTGAATTATATATGTATAATTATATATTGAGAGAGAATGTAGATAGAAGATATAGAGAGAGAATTTTATCTGTTATATATATATATATATACACACACACACACACACACACACAGTATACATAACCGGACCTCACTTGTGTCATTTATTTTGTGCTTAAATGTTATCAGCTCACATACCTATGCCCAATGAGCTATGTGAATGAAATTTTGACATCATCTCTCCTTGTTCTTTCAACAGTGTGTTTATTGGGGGGGAAAGTTAGCCATGGTAAATTATAATAGAATGGCCCTTAAGAATAGGCTTATGGATTTTAGGCTTTATGATTCAACCCTGCTGCTTCTCTTTCGTGGTCTTTGTTTAAGTGTGCAATCTGTCGGAGCATGCTGGCATAATCTTTTTTTTTAAGGGCACACAAATGGTGTAGTGCAACCTGTAGTTCACGCCACCCGATTGCTCTTTGAAGTGGTAGCATGTGGATATTTGAACACTGACGTGGTTGTGCCAATATGCCAGCTCATCAGCTGCGCCCTTGAGAGGGAAGCACGTACTCTAGATAGAGATTTGCACGCTCTAAGTGATTTGCACTTAGCGGTGAAGCTGTTATTTGAGTAGCTGGCAAGAAATATCAGTGTACCCTAGTGCAGAAGCTGTTCAAGCTGAGGAGCGTTGACTAAATCTTTTCATCAGAAGAAAACTTTTCTAGTATTCTTAAACAGCATTGATCTTTTGTGGAAAATAATTATACAAGGGAGCATCCAAAAGTTGGTGGAAAGATTCTATGACCTTTTAATTCTGTTCTTCCAGAAACTTTTAGAAGGCTCCTCATCTATCAGGCCATTTTATTTAAGTAAGGAAAGTTTGGTGTACATATGTTAGCAGTGTTATTGATGACTGCCAGACTTTGAGGCCCGCCTTCTGGACTAGACATCCCCATGAGAACACGCAGTTCTAGCCACCTGCTTCCCCCCTCTCTGGTCCTGAGCCCAGTAGACTGTTGGATGAAAGAATAAATAATTTTTAAAAAATCATTCTTATCATAATCCTTACGTCCATCCATTGTGTCGAGTACATTTGTTGCCATCATCTTTCTCAAAACATTTGCTTTCTACTTGAGCCCTTGCTATCAGCTTCTCATTTCCCCCCTCCCTCCCCACTATGCCCCCCCCCACCTTGAACCCTTGATTGCATGTTTTTTTCACACTTTGTAGCCTGTCTGCTGGCCTGATTGCTCGGTGGTCAAATGGCAGACCCTCTCGTGTCTTCTGTGAGACGTGATGCTGGTAAAAACCTGATGGACGGTTACGGCTTTTTGAAATAGTTCATCGGATGGGTTGCCTAGCAAACTTCTGTTTTCTACTTCCACAGGCCGTCATTTTAGAAAATGAAGAACTTCCCAAACTGTTTCTTGATTTCCTAAACGTGCGACACTTACCCTCGCTACCAAAGGCAGAGAGTTGTGGGTAAGCATTATGGACGCAGGCTGGACACGTATTTTAAGTTAATCTTCTAGAATATAGCCAATGATGCCCAAAGGGCCAGTCTTGCCACGCCTACTCTCTCAACTTGGCCTGGTTCTCGATGGTCCCCTCCTTCCAGCCAAAGGAATACTTCGAAAGCCCTTTCACCCTCCTGGTAAAGTTCAGTAATCCGTGATTAGACTAAGAGGGTTGGCATTTTAAATTATACTACTCCATAGCCTGAAATTGTATGTAGGAATTGTGAGTCCAGATAGCATGCTTAGGAACTTATTTATTTGTGGGGATTCTAGCAAAGTCCAGAACCCATCACACATAGACTCATATCATGTTATAGGAAGCTCTAAATGACCTTGGAGATGATAGTTCATAGTGAGCAAACTGAGGCACCAGGAGTGAAGTACTTTTCCCAGGATCTCTCAACTGGTTCCCGGCAGAGCGCAGGCTTCCTGCCTTGCAGCCCAGTGTTCATTGTCCACTCTCACCTCTCCCTTGTGGACTTCAGAGGACAGCTTGGAGCCCCTCATCCTTAACTGAGGTTTGATATCATCAGCAATTGGCAAACCCTTCTGTCGAATTAGCTCTAAAACCCTGGAATGTTCTGGGTGCATGACTCGGGCTAGGCTACCCTCAGAAAGCAGCCAGCCACATCCCTAGTGTAGTCGATCCACTTAGAAAGAAACAAGTCATCACAAACTGTCTCTCCTCACAGGCGAAGGTTCTATCCATGTTCCCATGGTTTCCAGACCTGCCTGGGGAACCACACTGACTACGAAATGTTTCATTAAATACGCCAAACCACACCCAAAGAATGTTAAATGCCCACTCCCGCCTCTCCCCACACAGCTGGGCTGAGGGTTGGGCTTCATGTGTCCCTTTGTGTTTTTAAGAGACGCTGGCAGTTACAGCGAGTGACATATTTTCTCCCTTGTAGAAGCCCCAAAGTAGTAATAAAACTGTACTGTTTCACATGATCTTCAGGAAAATGTACATTCAGGAACACCCAGTCTTGTGAGCCCCGAGGACAGGACGCAGGAGTCCCGATAGTGTCTCTGCACTGGCGCAGACACCGACCCGTTCACTCTGCTTTTCTTTGTTTCTCTCGTTTAAAATTGTAGATCTTTTGAAGAGACCGAATCAGAAGAGTCAAGGTAAGAGCAAATACGGTCAATTAAGAGGTATACAGACCAAGAATAGGATTGGGGTTTCGTTACTTGTTTGATGACCTGTGGCCTAAGTGTTTTAAGTCCTGTTGGAAAATTGGTTTTAAAATTGGTGAAACGTGTTTGGTAGGAAGTTACAGGAGTAACCAACTATAGCGTTGTATGGAAGCAGCGTGCATGTTTTAGGTTTTTTTCAATCCACACAGGCCCCTCGAGTGTGAGTTTCCGAGGCACTCTCTCTGTGCCCACATTGTCCACCGCGGCGCCCTGTACGCTGGAGATGTGGCACACTGGGGAACGAGAGAATGCACTCCCCCAGTGTTTCATACAAGTACCACACTAATCCCACTGCAAGATTTTTTTTAAAGCAACCACAGTGTCCGATGGTGATTTATTGTGCAGATTGTATGTCTGCTTCAAATTCCACAAAGAAACGTTTAGAAGCTGAGCAGAGTGGTGGCGTGCTCCCTCTCACTCCCTTTGCTATTATTGAGCCCGCCGTTAGATGCATAAACCTCGAGATGTCCCCGCACAGCAGTTTGATCCCCTCAAAGCTAGTTTGTAGTGTTTTCTGTTTACCGTCGTCCCCTGATGCTGACATGCCTGTTCTTGACCTTTCCAGCAAACTGTCCCACCAGCCGGTGCTGCTGTTCCTCAGGGATCCATACGTCTTGCCTGCAGCCCGTGGTAATCAAACCTGTCATCTGCTAACAGCTCTTTACTGATCTGACCCTGCACCCCATAAACCACGTTTTTAATACAGGTCTAACGGAGTGACATTGGTCCAGGGCTTAATAATCTGCCAATAAACCGTGCTCTTGGTGGAAGGGACATTTAGAATTTTAATTGGGGCAGGTCTTTTCCTTGCTTGCTTTCTGGACTATTTTGAATGATAGTAATGAGGGCAGGGAAGAGTGTATTGGCTTAGCATTTTGGGGCGGTGCTGTTTTGGCCTCAAGCCTGATTTAGTCAGCAGCCGGGGCTTAAACTGCAGCTCCTGTCATTTTTCCAAAGGCACCCTTTCCAGACGCCATGTATCTACCTCACTGCATCTCGATTGCAGCAACTTTGCTGTTCCCTGAGTGTGCGTCTTAAAAGTTATATATGTAAATGTGATTAATTAATTCCGCTATAAAGGGAATCAATATTTGAGCCCGAGCCTTTTGTTTGTGCTAAGAATTTCTCATTCCTCAGCATCCCTTTCACAGGGATTTCTGGTACCTACGGCTCCCGAGGAGCACATTCTCAGGCATTATCTCACTTCATTTCCTTAACAACTTCCGGAGGTCAGGCAGGCAGGTGTGCTCACCAGCTAAATGAGGAAACTGAGGCCCCGGGGTGCTAGCCAAATCTCAGGTGAAGGGTGGACCCCCCTGCCCCACCCTAAATCCTCCTGCGTGCTTTTTACATAGAGTGAATGTTTATTCTTTGTTTCTGAGAATAACGAAGCAGCATAGTAACTGAATAGCAATAGATCAATTACTGATTGAAGCTATGCTTAACCTGGGGCCCAAGAAAGTCTGGTCTGGGGCCCAATCCAGCTACTGACCTTCCCCACGACCCTGTACTGGCCACCCAGCCAGCCCCGACTGAGATGCAGCCTGCAGATAAGGAGCTCTGCAGACTCCTAGATTCTTGGCCTCAGGAAGATAAGGGAGCCAGGGAAAGAGTCCCAGTCGCCTTGCTGGGGCTTGGGTGGCTCTGAGAGTAGGTCACATTCCAGAGGACTAGGCTTAAGGTCCTGGACCCCATTTCCTATGTTGTTTCCAAGTTAGGGTTGGTGGTCACATCGGTGAGGGGACAGACCTTGGAGAACAGGCTTAGTGAAGAAGAGATGCTTCCAACCCTAACTCGAGGGAGGAAGACTGTGGTCTGCTCCCAAGTGCCCATTCTTCCACCCGTCCCCATGGTGAGCCATTTCCCAGGGGCGGTGCTAAGTACAGAGACCCCAGGAGTAGACCTGAGGAGGAGGCCTTGTGATCACCCTCCTCTAGGCTGCAGAGCCATCTCCCTTACTACCATCTCAGGGAACTCCATGGAGGGGGAGAAGGGGCAGGGGTCCACTCTGCCAGGGGTCTGCCCGCCCACCCTCGGAGCCCAGGCCCAGGAACTCGGGAGGCCTTTAGCAAAGGGAGTGCACACCCAGTGGGGCAAGTGTATGCAGAGTTGAATCACTCAGTTCAAAGAATAAGTTGGTTTTCCTCATTTGAAAGATCTATTATATACAAATGATTATAAACTCTCTGTTATCCGGTCATTTGCAAGACTCTGTAAATCTTTGTGGGAGCAGACAGCCTCATCTTTCTCCTGTGGAGTGACTGGTGGATTTGAACCCCTGACCTTGCAATGAACAGTTCAAATCTTAACGTGAGAGCGTCACTAGAGCTCAAAAAGTGGTTATATATAATACTAAAGGGAATTTTAAAGAAGAATAAGCCCTTCTCATTTTCCCTAAAGGAAGAAAAGAAACCATTCTTAATTTCTGACAGTGAAACTTGGACATCAAGAGGAAGGGGACTGTGGCAAGATCACCCACTTTGCTGTCAGTGTCAACAAGGGTGGCCAGGACTCAGCCCATTGGAGACTACCATCCTCCTCCTCCTCCTCCTCTTCCTCCTCCTCGCTCTGCCAAGGGACCGGGCCTCTACCCTGACTACCCTAACCACTGGGGCCTGGGGCTCATGAAGGGACTTCAAAAGATCTGTGGGAAAAATCCTATGATCTTTGGATTCCATTTTCCCCAGATGTGTTGAAGCCTCCTGAAAAACCGTTTTGTAATGTTTGGGGTTTTTTCCTAGAAATATCTGTGGGTGAAGAATAATTGCCTCTCTCTAGCACTTTCTCTTGTTGTTTTATAGAAATATATATTAGTTGATACTATGCTAATGAAGTGTTATATTTGATACATATTCAAGATGCAACTTTATCTAGATTAGATAGGTAGTATTTTTTAAAGGAATCTTAATTATCTCTTTACAAATGGTTGCTCAAATACTCTCGCTCCTTAGGGATTGTGTATGCTCAGATACTTCATTTCTATGACCTCCGGTCTTGTAGAAGTGTCAAGAGAGATATGCTCACTGTGTGCTAGAATAGCTCTGTGAAATAGGGTGGAATGCCTGGTGACCCTGAAATCCAATTTATCCAGCTTATTGAGCAGCACCTACTGTGTGCTAGGCACCACCTTTAGCAACAGAGAAGACCAGGGCAGATGGCTGGAGTTTAAAAGAGCAAGCAGTATATGTGGTGGGGAGAATGAGCTGCTTACCAAAAAAAGGGTCGGGCAGGGATTCATGTTGGCGTGTAAAAATCACAGTTTTGATGGATAAGATAGAATCACACATGGGAAAACCACATTTTTGGGGGGGTTGTTGCTGGGGGTAGAATTCCATAAATCAGATTGCTGACATTTTAGAAAGTGTATACTAGTGGTGCACTTTTGCAAACCTTCAGCAGTGTAATTAAAGATAAACCATACTTGCATTATATTTTTGTGTTACGGTGGTCCTTCGTGAAAGTTTGAGGATCTTGAATTTGAAACCCTCTACAGATAGACTGGCCCTCCCTCATGCCACAGAATCAAAGGGGCATCCATTTTTAAAGCTCTGGTAATAAAACATTATCCTCTTTATATCAGAAGGCAAGATGCCCTCTTTGTTCTTTATAATGTATTTTTTTTCTGTCCTTGTTGAGACTATGAACATGTCGCACTAATTTAATAATTTCCGTGTATACAAATTAATGACGCGAAATTGTATCCGTTGAGCTGTGTACTATTCTTACCTTCCTTTCTGAATTGTTCCTCCTCCATGAACATAAACGCACTGTTTCCTACATTTCTTATCCAGTCTGGCAACCTGCTTTTGTCAATGAGAGCCCCAATAGATGGATCTTTAGAGAGTACAGTGCTCAATGCAGCTATCTTTATTGGTTAAGCTGAGCTATTTTTGGTTGGAAGAAGACTTTGAGGATATTTTTGGCTGATAGTTTAATGATTATCTCCAGACAATAGTTTTAAGGGTTAATCCAGCCTCTCTGATTCCAGAAAGGCTGGATTCCATGAGAATCTATTAAAATCTATTTTGCGCTTCCTCCTTTGCATCAGGGTTCTTTGTGTCAATTATCATGTGATCAAAGTGCGCAGTAACGGGAGCTAGATACCATCCAGTTCTTCTGATCTCATGGCAGAGGAGGCAGCTGCTCATGGGGGCAGTTGGGCACACATTCCATGCCCTCATCCTCTTCCTGACAAGAGAGGATCCATCGCTCAATGCATTTGAGAAGTATATACTTTTTGAATATTTTTGATTTTTCTGAGAAATGCAAAGCAACACTTGCCAAGGTTTCCAAAGACTTCCATGCAGTTAAACCCTACGGATATTTTTCAGCCCCTCTCTTACGTAACCACTCCTTTGCTTTGAACACGTTGTAGAAGTAGTGAGGTCCCAGCCACGTCAGGCTTCTGCTGACACGTGCAGCTGCGGAAGCTCACAAACAGGAAGCAAGAAGACTAAGGGAGCAGGCACAGGCTGTTGGTGACAAAGGTAAATGATCAAGGTTGGCCAAATGAATGCACCGTCAGTAGTCTGCTGATGGCTCCTGGGAACAGGAGATCGGTGAACCAGATGCTTGATCCAGCCCCAGCAGACGGTGAAGGACCAAAGAAAACTCAGCTCTTCTTAGGCTCTCTCTCCTTGAAAAGGCCGCATCCCCAGGAGGCGTCTTTAAGCTGCGACTTGATTGATAGGTTAGAGTCCACCCCTACCTTCACCTAGGATTATCTAGTTGACATACTCAACCATCACACCCACAGCAGTCAGACACACCTCCATTCTGCAGCCTTTTGACCAGTCTGACACCGGTCGTGCCTCACACCGCTCTCTACTCCTCTTCTAGTTTCTGCCATCCTAGACCAGTGGCCGCACAGACTAGCCATGCCATTAAGTGGTTTATTACTGGATTAAGGTTCGGGAGCATGCAGGAAAATTCTCCCTTCTTCAGAGGAGGACAGCTGGCTTAGTTAGTTCCCACAGAAGGTGCAAGCCTCCTTGCTGCCCGCTCTGCCCCCGGGACCCTTCTAGGCTTGGCATCGTCTTCCATGTTGAAACCCTTTAGGGGCTGCCTTGCCTTCCCTCTCTCCGCTTCTTCCTTTGCTTCTCTTCCTGCTTCTTTGTAGCCGAAACATCTCTGCGAGACCGACTACTTAAATATACAGGCTCCTTATCAGTTTCAAGGCATGACACGTTCACGCTGACCAGCACCTCTCGAAAAGGTCACAAACCCTTCATCTGCATAGTAGGCTACAACTCCTGATTTGCATGGCTTATTGACCCATCACTCAATGTGTACACCAATCACCTAGCAGGCTACGCTCGGGCCCAGGCAAAAAGTATCAAAACCAAGTTGTTTGCAATGTACCCATAATATACCAAGCAAACTAGACAGAAGTAACAATCTCTCTGTGTGGCACATTAGGGCAGAGGCAGTCTCAGTCTTGAGTGGGAAAACCTCAAGCTGCTTTTCCAAAGAACCAAAGCAAAAGGTCACATAAAGGAAATAATTCGCCACATCTGCTTTCTTTTATTTTCTGAATGGACTTCGTGTAATTCACTGACGCTAGGTTTGCACAGGCTGTGAGGGGCACGGTGTCACGGGACTTACACACTGGGCTGCTAGCTTCAAGGTCAGACTCAGAAACCCACGGGGACAGCTCTGCCTGGTCCTGTAGGGCTGCTGGGAGTCAGAAGCCCCTCGGTGGCAGTGGGTTTTTGGAGTTTGTGGGTATGTGTGAACCACCCACCTCCTGGTTAGTAGCCAAGCATGACTGTTAATGCCTCCCAGGATGCCCATGCAGGATGCCCTGTTTGGGCACTCCACTGAAAATTAATCGCACTCTCTTCATAGCTATTGGTTGTAATTTACTTCTGTGTGAGAGAAGTGCATTTAGAATTTAGTTCCATCCTTGCTCTTGGTTAGAGGATTATGCACTTAAAGCCTCACACAAAAATTTAAAGATGTGTTTATGAAAAATTATGCTACTTCATGTTGGGATAGGCCAAAGTAAGAAATCAAATGCTATCAAGCCAAGAGTCACTGGGTCCTTATGTATTGGAGGTATTTTTTAAACCCTTACTATTTCCTTGTCTTCTAGAGTACCATGTAAATTCCATGAGGGCAAGGACTCTTACTTAGATTGATGGTAATAATTGAAACCGTGCATGGTGCACAAGTATGGCCAGAACTTAATGAAGTGATAAGCTCAAGCCAAAGTCCTTGGCTTCGCTCCTCATTGTTTCTGACAGCTTACTAGGTGGGTTGTGTGCTCCATTTCACCACTAGCAAAACTGCGTCAAGCGAAGGAACACACCTGAGTTCTCACAACGAGTAAGTGGCTGATCTGGAACACAGAAAATGCTCACGAAATATTTTCTGAGATGGCCCTGACTCTGCTTCTGAGGCCCGAACTGACAGTCTCTTCGATATCCTTCCCACTCTGGGTCTCGGTGCTGGCTTCCTCTCACTACCCATTGGCTAGATCCATCAGGTAGACAACCAGTCACCCTAGACTTCTCCCTTTCCCTCAGCAGCCACATCTCATCCTCCAGGTCGCAGCCGCCATCACTCCAAAAGCCACCTACTAATCTGTCCTGGGCCTTTGCTTCCCACTTGCGCCACTGCATGAGCAGCTGCACTGATCTCTGTGGGTCCATGTCGCACCTCCTCAGTAGTCTCTGAGTGACACCATTTAACCTGTTTTACTCTGCTTGCAATCTTTCAGTAGCTTCTCCTTGCATTTCGGATAAAGCATTCCAGTCCGTTCTTCGCCTCCCTGGTGAGGGCCAGCAAGCTCCCTTTGGGTGGTTTCACATAGTAGGCACTCCAGAGAGATTGAATTAGGGTGAGCCTTTTGGCTGTCTGCTTTTCTCTTAACCTGTTGGATCACTTAATTCCCTTATATAGTTACTATATTTACTGAAAGTTGTTGGTTTTAGCATACCTCCTGGGTAGAATTAAGTGCAGGTTGAAGTTTAGACATTAAACTTCTGAGCCTTACAGTATATTTGTTGTTCCTCCACGCAAGCAATCCATTCATACTTTACATGCCCTGGCAACTGGAATATGGTACAACATACTATCTACCCCTGCGTTTCCTATGTAGCATCTCTGAAAACATGGCTGGTTGGTTTGGTTTTTCCCCCCAAGTTTGACCAGATGGTTTTTGTAGGAAATCTGCCCTTGTTAAGTTAAGAAGACAGGCCCCCTTCTTGCTGCTCTCCACAAGCCAGTGTAATAGAACGAGCAAACTCAAGACATCGTGGCCTAAATGCTGCTGTAAACCACAATGGAAAAACTGCAGCGAAGTATTCCCAGTAGAAATCTTGGAATTCCTTCAAGTATATTGAGATTTTGTTAGAAATTGGATTGCCAGTGTAATCCATCTTCCTTGTGAGAAAACATTCAGATAAAGAGCTGGGGCCTAGCAGCATTAACCATTAGAACATCCCTTAAATCAATAAGCTACAAATCTGGCCACACATTCCTGCTTCGCCCGGTGGTACACTCAGTAGCTGTGGGCCGGGCAGCATGACTGATAGCGCACGCGGACAAGGGCAAACTGCATGGTGCTGCAGATTTCTGTGTTATTGGGGGGGGGCGGGGGGGGCTAAAGCTTGCTTACCTTGTTAAATCCTATGGTCTGCGATGATATGTTATTGATGCACTCAAGAAGAGCCATTTTTCTTTTATTTTTCAGATTTCCCAAATGTAGTTATTGAAGGAGTTCTCCATGGAATATTCTACCCTCACCTACAGCCCAGGTAGACACCCTCCGATGTCTAAAAGAAGCTGAAGCAAGTTTCCAAGTCAAGAAATGGATAGCTACCGAATTAACCTAAACTCTATGACATAACAGATCTAGGTAGTGATCAAATAAACCCACAGCCCCAGCTTACTCCCACCAGGCAGAGACGTCTCCATTAGAAGGGTGCTTTTCAAGATAGAAACGGAAACCAGGCAATGGTCAGGTTAAGGTCAAATGTTTAAGAAGTAGAATGCAGTGGCCAGCTGAGGACCCTGTGACAAAGAGCCAGCAGAGCGCCCCCCGGAGCACTACATGCCACAAAGCCCAGGTGCTCCCTGCTCCAGTAGCAGCACGACCTGCTGCTTGAAGGTTGCATCCAGACTCCTACAAAAGCGGGGTGGCCTGTTTGGGTTCACATCACAGGGAGCACTAATATCTCTCTCCAGGAGGCGTCTCGGCTGAACTGCGGGCACTGGGCCCCCCAGAGGAAGGAGCTCACCTGAGAATGCAGTGATACTGATGACGGTCCTCTGGCAGTGGCCCATCATGGTATTTTTATTTATGTTCCAGTGGAGTTGCATCCTCCCCAGGCGCCAGTCCCGAAGATAAAAGGGCCTCCCAGTGAGACTGCCCTGGAAAGACCCTTTTAAGGAAGGCTCATTTCAGAAACCTAGATGTCCACCACGACCAATGTTTTTTTCTCCAGAATTGCAAGAAATGCCTCTTCAGATGAAGGGCGGATAAAGCTTTGAAGCACTTGCTCAGAGTCCGTTTTGTGTGAGAAGCACATACTTTTCTAAACACTAGACTCACCTTCAGCCAACAAAGTGGCAGCCGTCTGCGAGACAGGCACAAGGGAAGGAATCCCAGATGGACAGCGCCCACCTTGGTCTGCCTGAGGCCAGCATTCGTGCAGTGGGTGCTTCGTCGTCATCGTCGTCATCGCCTTCAATGTTACCTTCCTCAGCCTCTCCTCTCCACTTACCTCACGTGGATTCCCTCGACATTGAAGTGTTGATGCTATAACGCTACTGTCCTTCAAACCTACATTCTTATGTATCTTACGTGTTTCTTAAAAAGGGTAAAGGCATGTATGCTACCTGTACATGTTCTGTATCTGGGCATTTCACTGAAAACAAGTCATTGCTAGCCTATTTATGGTCATTGGTTTTATGAAGCTTCTATGTGGGTGAAATATGTTTAGAATCAAAACTAATAACTAAATCATGCCTTTTGATTAGGATCTTAAGTATAGGTTTCAGGCCTGTCACAGACTTTTAAAGATAAGGTTTTCTGATAGATTATAATACTACTTCTTGGAAACCGAATTAAATAATCAAGTGTCTTCAACCAAAAATAACTTTCAAGTATTTGGAAATATTTTTTAAATGTTTTTATGTTATTAGCTATTTTGAGTTAAAGAAAGACAATAAAGTGTACTTGGATAAGTCTTCTGTTCCTGGGATCCTCTTTGAAATAAAAAATTCCCTCTCTCTCTCACTCATTGATTGTGCAAACATTTATGTAACACAACCTTTGTTCTCGCAACACTGTGCACTTGTACAATCTGCACTTGGGAGATGACCCAGACAACCAGCTCTTCCAAAGCATGTATTCATTGACAATAGAAATGTAAATGGAAAGACAACAGAACAAGAGGAAGGAAAAGAAATGCCTTTGGTATTTAAGACAGGATGTAGACTGTCCCTACTCTTCAAGTCCCTACTTGCTGGATTTGGTGGTTTGGCTAGGATGGCCTCAGACCATCTCCAAATGCTCTTTCACACGGAGCTTCCCTCAGCCCTGATTTCGATGGCCCGGCGGTTTGCACACTAGTAGCCCTAGTGTGCTTTGTCCTTCCTCCTGCCCCAGCTAGAACGGGTGGTGATGTGTCCAATGCCAGTAACACTGTGGCCATCGTTACCTGGTAAATCCTACATGAGGAAGCTCATGTTGAATACTAGAGAAATCTCATTATCACAATTTAGAAAATGGCGTGACCATAGTTTAGGGATAACAACTGGCCCCATTTCGCTTTTCAAGCCTGATTGGTGGAGAATGGCTGCTTGGAATGCTGTGTGGAGAGATCTTCGTAAGCAGAGGCTCTGTGGGTAAAAGGACAGTAATCAATGATACCTGGCCAGATGAGTTTCATCACTTGTCATCATTAGACACCATGCAATCATCTGTGACAGGGTGGCCCGATGCTAACAGAACAAAATATTGCTTGACTGCACCATCCTCCCAATCATGGCAATGTTCAAGCCTGTGTGGCAGCTATGGTGTCAAAAGCAGTGAAGACCTCCTCTTTTCTGTTGACCCTCTCTACCTAGCATAACTCCTCTGGCAATTGAGTTCTCCTGATAACATGTCCAGAGTAAATGAGACATCTCATTGTATTTGCTTCTATGGAGTGTATGTACCAATATGTCAGATACAAATGATGTGTGGTTTGTAACGAGTTGTAAGAGCCCCCATTAAATGGGGAAAAAAATATCTGTAAGAGCTCCCAATAAAATGGGGGGGAAAGTGGAGAGAAAAAAAAAGAAAAGAAATAAGATCTCATCCTAAGAAGAGTTTCCAGTCCAAAGTGGGGAAAGTAGACACACCAGAAAATAAGCAGTGACAGCTCAGGGTGAGGAAGCTTCCAGCAAAGGCTTCCCTCGGAGCCGTTTTGTGGGTTTGAACTGCCGCTCTTTCATTTAGCAGCAAGTACGTGACCCATTGTGGCATCGAGGCTCTTTCCTACCTAAAGAGCAAGACATGATAGTTACCACCGAAGACAGATGGTGGCCCTTGTGCGGAAGGTGCATGACGGGGCAGGGTGGCATTGTGCTGTATAGGGTCTGGTTTGGAACTGAATTGATGCCACCCGCCAGCAACAAGACAGAGAGTTACTGTAGTCCAGTGAACTGGAATTGACCCCACAGCAGCAAGTTCAAAGCCCAGCGTGAGACCAAGAGAGCCCTTCACCCCCTGGAGCCCCATGCTCAGGAACGTGGAAGCTTCCTGGACTTTCTCTCAGCAACCATGTCAGCATGTAGGCAGGTAATGGGCAGGCTATTTGCCTGTCGAGTCCTTTACAAATTTGCGAAGCCCCAGCACTCTGCTCTGAGAGGGACAGAATTACAGTTCCACTTGTGGACTTCATAGTGCATTTTGTTTGACTTCTGTTTGTTAGATGGACCCTTTTGGTTTCTCTTTGAATTCTCCGTTAATGCTGGTGGTTTTTCCACTACTCAAGAATATCAGCAACACCAACAAATCTCCAGTTCTATTGTATCACACCGAAAACTTACTCTCAGCCCAAATCACAAGTCCACAAGATGCTTTAGACTTCAGTAAAAGCCATTATGTACTTAATGGCACCAAAATTTTCCATTACAAATGCTGGTTTTGGTCTTCCTTAATTTAAAAAAAAAAACAAAAAATGAAAGCAACACTGCCTGGAGGGGGACTTTGAATTTCTGAGCCGTCCAGATCAAAGATTTCTTCGGCTGTCTGGATTATAAGAATGTTGGGAAACCAAAACAAATTCCTTTCTTGCTATAAAAGCCTTGCCATGTTTTTGTCTCTGTCTAACTAAAAACGACTGAACTTGGAAATGAGGTTGGTGAGTTCTGCTCAAAATATAAAAATTCATTTGCAGGGAAATAGTTGATCCTTCCAAAAATATCATTGTAATTGATATGATCCCCAAAGAAATGTTACTGGATTCTTTATTTGATTATTTTTATAGTGTTCTTTTGGCGTAGTGGGTAATGTGTTGGGCTGCTAACCACAAGGTCTGTGGTTCAAACCCACTAGTTGCTCCACAAGAGAAATATGAGGCTTTCTGTTCCCATAAAGATTTTCCATCTCAGAAACTCGCAGAGGCAATGAGTTTTGCTCTGTCCTATAGGGTCACCATAAGTTAGAATTGACTTGATGGCAGTGAGATTTTGTGGCATGAACTGTGTATCTCGCCCCTAAATTTGTGTCAACTTATCCAGGCCATGTCTCAGTATTATGTAATTATCCTCCATTTTGTGATCTGATGTAATTATTCTATATGCTGTGTATCTGGAGGCCCTGGTCATGCAGTAGATTGAACTTTGGGCTGCTAATTGAACATTGGTGCTTGAAACCCACCAGTCACTCCGCGGGAAGAAGATGAAGCAGTCTACATCCTTCCATAAAGACTCACAGCCTAGGAAAACCTATGGAGCAGTTCCTCTCTGTCATGTAAGGTCTATATGACTCAGAATCATGAGTTTGGTTTGGACAATTAGGCACGATTAGCAGTTATTGTTGTTGTTGGGGGCTGTTCAATCGATTTCAACTCATAGCGAAAGGAAACAAAACACTGTGAGGCCCTGTGCCATCCTCACAATTGCTCTTATGTTTGAACCCAACGATGCAGCCATTGTGTCAATGGCTTCCGAAGGCCTTCCTCTTTTTTGCCGTCCCTCCATGAAGCATGTCCTTCTCCAGGGACGGATCTCTCCTGACAACATGTCCAAAGTGCATGAGACGAAGTCTCCCATCGTTGCCTCAAAGAAGCACTGTGGTTGTACTTCTTCCAAGACAGATTTGTTCGTTCTTTGGGCAGTCCATGGTACTTTCTATATCCTACTTCAGCACCATAACTCAAACGCACTTACTCTTCTTCAGTCTACTTATCCAATGTCCAACTTTCACGTAAGCATATGCAGTGATTGCAGACACCGTGGCTTGGGGCAGGAACAACGTAGCCCTCAAAGTGACATCCTTGCTTTTCAACACTTTAAAGAAGTGTTGTGCAGCAGATTTACCCAATGCTGTTCGATCTCTTGACTGCTGCTTCCATGAGCTTTGACTGTGGAGACAAGCGAGACAAAATCCCTGAAAACTTCAATCCTTTCTCCATTGATCATGATGTTACCCTTTGGTCCGGCTGTGAGGATTTTGGTCTTTTTTACATTGAACTATAATCCAGCTGCAGTCCTTGTTCTACATCAGCAAGTGTTTCATGTCCTCCTCATTTTCAACAAACAAGGTTGGGTCATCTGCACACCATGTGCTGAGTTAGCCTTCCTCCAATCCCAACGCCACATTCTTCTTCATATAAGTTAGTTTTCTGATTATTTGTTCAGCATACACCTTGACGTGCACCAGTCCTGTTTTTGAACCATGTAGTACGCCCCTGTTCTGTTCTCACAGCTGCCTCCTGTTCTAAGGACACCTTCCCCAATAGCACACTGAAGTGTTCTGGAATCCTCCCTGCTTTCAAGGTTATCCATAGTTTGTTATTGTCCGCACAGTTGAATGCCTTTGTATAATCAGTGAAGCACAAGTAAATATCTTTCTGATATTTTCTATCAAGATCCATCTGACATCAGCAATGATATCCCTTGCTCCGTGTCCTCTTCTGAATCGGTCTGACCCTCTGGCAGCTAGCTCCCTGTCAGTGTGCTACTGCAACTGTTTTTGGATAATCGAGAAAAATTTTGCAAAAGCAGTGATATTGTTCAATAACTTAGCAATTCTGTTGGGTCACCTCTCTTTGGAATGGATACAAATGTAGATCTCTTCCAGTCAGTTGACCAATTAGCTGTCTTCCGAATATCCTAGCATTGATGATTAAGTGCTTCCAGTGCTTCATCAGCTTGTTGAAACATTTCAATCGGCATTCTACCAATTCCTGGAGCCTTGTTTTTGGCTAATGCTTTCAATGCAGCTTGAACTTCTTCCTTCAGCACCGTTGGTTCTTACTGATACGTTCATACTTCCTGACATAGTGGGATGTCAGTGGACTAGTTCTTTTTTGGTGCAGTGACTGTATGTATTCTTCTCATCTTCTTTTGATGTTTCCTGCAGCAGTCAATGTTTTGCCCATAGAATCTTTCAAGATTGCAACTCGAGGCTTGAGTTTTTTTCTTGAGTTCTTTGAGTTTAGGGTTTATTCTTTTTGGTTTCCTTACACTATGCCTTGCCACATTTCATTATAATAATTGACTTTGTCTTCTTGAGCTGCCCTTTGAAATCTTCTAGAAGCTCTTTGACTTCGTCGTTTCTTCCATGTGCCTTCGCTACTCTACAATTAGGAGCAAGTTTCACAGTCTCTGGTGACATCTCCTTTGATCGTTTATTTTTCTTGTCTTCTTAATGACCTTTGTTGCCTTCATGAAAGATGTTCTTGATGTCCTTCCTCCCACAGCTCATCAGATCTTGTCATTAGTGTTCATTGCAGCAGATTTGGTCTTGCGATGTTTTTGAAATTTAGGTGGAATCAACTCAAGGTTCTATCTTGGTTCTTGTGGACTTGTTTTAATTTTCTTCAGCTTTAACCTGAACTTACATATGAGCAATTGATGGTCTGTTCTACCGTCAGCCCCTGGCTTGGTTTTAGTCACTGATATTGAGCTTCTCCATCATCCCTTCCCACAGAGATAGTCCATTTGATTTCTGTGTGTTCCATAAGAAGTCCAT